TGCGGAGGAGGCCTAATCTATGAGATCTTATAGGTCGTAGGGAGGTAATTGGCAGAAGGCGGTCTCTCAAGTATCCAGAAGGTTGTGAAAAGTGATGGGGCTGCAGTTACAGAGAACACAAATTATCTCAAGTAATGTCAGTCCAGCTTCATGCTCAGCATGAATAAAAAAAACATGCTGGTTGCTGTCAGAATGACCTGAGCTGGATATGGACGGAGCAAATGTAACTGTCATTGTTTCCCTGGATCTTTTATTAGCCCTGGATATTGGACAAGATTCATCTGGGCAGGATATGAACGTCAGAATTGTGGTGATAGGTGGGGAAAAGTCTGGTTCTTTTTATGCTTCATTGTGGGATGCTACAGGACTCAGTCCTCTGTTCAACATCTACCTAAAATCCACTTAGAGAAATATATCAATTTGGATAATATGATATGAAGTTGCACATCTTCCACTGAGCAAAATGGATGAGGCAGATACCATGACCTGGTCAGATACTATAATCTCGGCTTGTGAGGATGCGGGTAAGATGACGTTTTCTCAGTTTCAGTTGGTGTTCAACCTGAACACTTACCTGGCATTAAAATGCATGGGGGACAGTGTTTCCTGCATTTGTTACATCTCATTTAGATGACTAAAAGCTATTTTATGTGGGACTGCTTTTGAAGGCCACACAGAAACTTCAGCATGTTTAATGCTTGTGGATTATTAGTTTTGATTCTGACAATGGATATTGTTGCCACATTAGTTATGAGCATGTTACTGAGTGCCATTTAAGCTGCTGGGTTTAATGACTTGGGGCTGGGTTTTAAAAGAATGCTATTCCTGATCAAATTTGCCTGGACAGTCTGAGAATATCTATTTGGGCATTCCAACCGACCAGAAGTTAAGATAGGAAGAGTCCTAAAGGTAGATTTCTATGTAGAGGCTCACTTTATACAAACTGCTCGCCTTCCAAGGCAGGTTATGAGGCAGGTCTTAAGGCCACCCAGAAAGATAATGATGTTGCCGTCATTTTTTATTATATTGTTAAAATTCCCTTTTTACAACCATGTAATCCCTTAATCAGTTGGAGTGACTGGATGGAGCTGAGCATTGACTGTCTGGATGCCCTTCAGGATGCCTAAGTGGAATTCGCAGATGATTTTTTTTCCTTTGTGACCTAGGGGAGAAACATCTGCCACTACCTAGGATTGAACTCTCAACTTCCCAAGTGGGAGGTGAGCATCTTCACTACTAGGCCATGAAGCCATTCATATTTTTATTATACTGTTATCATTACTATTATTATATGATAATAATCCAGCCAGTTTGGTATATGATTCAAGCACCAGGTTAGTAATGAAACAACTGAGAGTTTTGGTCCCGCCTTAGGCATAAAACCAGCTGGGGACCTTGGTCCAGTCACTCTCTCCTAGCTCTAAAAAAGAGGATATGGCAAACCACTTCTGAGAAACCTTGCCAAGAAAACTGGAGGGACTTGACCAGATAGCCTCTGAGAAAAAAAATGTATTACTGTAGTTATTATCTAGAATCCAAATTAATTTACTTGCTATTCATATTTCACAAACAATTTTTGTTATGAGACTTAGAGGCATTTTGGAAATAGGGTCAAAACATTTGATGGCTTCATAGAATTTTTTTTATTGCATGAGAATTTGTTTTAAAAAATATGGTAACCACCTGAATAAATGAATAAACTGAACTCCAAGCAAATTGTGTGAAGATTCTGACAATGATTATAAGCGATAGTGCTAGATAAATACTTGTGCTCTAGTTCAAATGAAATACTAGACCACCCATTGCACAATTTAACAATATGTTGAACGAGCTTATGCTTTTGTACTCAGATTATGATTTGAACCAAAGGCCGAAGCTTCCAATATCTTAAGGAGCCATGATGGCACAGTGGTTAGAGTGCAGTACTGCAGACTATTTCTGCTGACTGCCAGCTGCCTGCAATTTGACAGTTCGAATCTCACCAGGCTCAAGGTTGACTCAGCCTTCCATCCTTCCAAGGTCAATAAAATGAGGACCCGAATATGGCAGTATGCTGACTCTGTAAACCGCTTTGAGGAGGCAGTAAAGCACTATAAAGCAGTATATAGGTCTAAGTGCTATAGCTATTAAAAAGCATGTTTTATTTATATAAACGATAAATATACAGACAGAGAAATTTGCCATCTGACTGCTTTATCTAGACAGGGCATGTTCTTTTCCCCTTTTAAAATTAAAATTTTCTTTTTCATTTGTCATTTTTTAAAATCTTCATCAAATTACTATTACTATGTAAATGACACAACACAGTTCTCATTTTCATGTCCTTTTTGTCCTAATATGAGGAAGTGATATATTAAATACTGGCATAGGCCTTCATGACTGGCATCAAAGGAGGAGTGATGAACTCTCAGGCTGAATGGTCATGATCTAGTTTTATTTTGTTCTAGCATTCATTTTGGCAACGGCTATGGCTAGCATCTTCAGACACTCTTTTGTGGTGTACCTCTTGGCACGGAGGCTGATTGGGTTCAGGTATCTGAACCGAGCAAGCTGCTCTCTGATGGTCCACATTATGGAAACCCAAGTTATGGAAGCCCAAGAAAGTTGGTTCTTGATTGGTTCCTCATCTCATTTGTCCATTGTGAAGAAATTGCAAGAGCTGGGCTGCTCTGAGCTAGTGGCATATTGTTTAAGTTTTCTGAATTTCTTATTTTATTTTTTAATTTATTATGGAAATAGGTAATAAAATAGCTAGATCAAATAATTAAATGTTGCAACAAAAGCCAATTGAGATATGAAAACATTTCCATGTTTCTAGAAACATGAACTCTCCATACCAAAATGAGGAAATCTTATTGAGTGCTACAAAGGACTTACTTGAGCAGGTGGAACTGGTGGAAGTGATTGCACAGGGGGAACCTGCAGAGGTCCCAGCGGTGCACTGGTAGCTGCCATATGAGAACTGGGCATTTGAAACTGGGACAATAGGTGAGTTGCAGGTTGCTGTACTGGGCACATGGGCTGGTTGCTGAGAACTTGTTGTAAAGGAGCTGGGCTTGAGATGGATTGCTGATGAATTAAAAAAAAGATCATATAAGTTTGCTATCAGTATGGATTGGAGAAGCAGTCATAGGCAAACACCAAACAATAAACAAACCTACTTCTTAAAAATACAGTTAATAGATTGAAAATCTACAAAGTGAACAGTCTGAATGGTTAAGAAAAAGGAAGTATATGTATGCAATTCCATTTTTCTGCTATATTCTGAAAAGATATCGGTTCCAGTTTTTAATGCCTTTCGGATGGCTGTGTCTTGGTATAATAATCATGTTTCCCATTTCTGAATTGGCAAACTATGACTACCAGTTTCACAAAAATGCCAAACTGTTAAATCAACATCAAATTGTAATCCAATATTCCGTTGTTGTTGTTGTTGTTGTTGTTGTTGTTGTTGTTGTTGTTGTATTTTAATGTTTTACTGGCTTTTAGTGTGTTTGTAAGCTGCATACAAGTCAAATAAAATAAATAAATAAATAAATAAAGAGTTTCAAAGCTGATTTGGATACATTTACTTATACAAATATATGCCCAAACTCAAACTAAACATTGCCCGAAAATGATGATATGCCCAGGGTTAGATACCTCTCCCTTTCTTATGATCATTTTCATCTACTGGTGAAATTAGTCCAATAAATTTTATTTATAAAATAATAACAATAACAACAACAAAACAATAATAAAGGGTGGCAGAAGAAAATGACCATTGTCAGACCAAGAGAATATATAATATAAATAACATTTTTAAAAATCCAAATAATGAGGTCAATCTCTTCTACTCAGAGGAACAAACTTAAAAGAGGTCAGAAATTAATCTTGAGTTTGCTATAGGGTGAAGAAAGAAATTAAAGCTTTCTCACTCTGTTGCCCTACAACCCACAGGGCAGATTTAAAACACCCTGCTGGTGGTTGTGGCAGCACAATCAAAGCCCTGCCCTTTGTACATGTGTGCATGTGTGCATAATCACGGGGGACAAAATTTAAACCCCTCAGAAAGGGCCCGCAACTTGGGAGTCCTCCTGGATTCACAGCTAACTTTTGA